AGAGAGAGAATCAGTCTCTGGCTTGGGTGGAGACTTCACATTGCTGTTTGGCTGGGTTAATTGGTTAAAGGATCACCCCTAGGAATGTAGGCTCCCCTTCAGCCATGCTAAAGAGATATTTGGAATAACTTGTCCTTTAATGAGATACTGTGCCTCTCCCCAGAACACCACCCTCCAGTGCTGGAGTTTCTAAGCCACAGCCGTGTGCCTTTTCTGAATTATTCAGGACAGCATAGCCTTGCTTTCTCTCTCCTTTCTAAGCATGCATTCCTAAACAGTTTGTGCTTTCTCAGCAGCGTTTCGGACCTCCTTACTCTCTCTCTAAAACCTCCCCCCAGGCCATTGTCCCCTTGTTCACCGTGTGTCTGACCCCCAGTTTAAATGGCATGACCTCTTCTCTTCCCTCCTCCATTCACCTCCCCTGGGCAGCTGCTGAGGTTTAGAGCCTGCTTGCCCTGGTTTTTTTTTTTTTTTTTTTCCTTAACGCTAATAAATTTATGCTTGTGTTTCTATTCAAGTCCATTCTTAAATTTTTTATTAATGAGATTAAGAACCACAAAGGGGACCTAAATTTCCCCTGTATCAATTATATTAACCTGCTATACCACCAACAAGTAAAGTAATTTACATTATTGCCCCAATGTGTGTGGGCAGTGCAGAGCTCCAGCTCCGTGCCTCTTGTGGACTCATTTCCTTTATGACCACACAGCCTCAGAGGGACATGGACAATCGCTGTTAGGGACCTCTGGCCATGGAACAGCATCTTGGGGTTTCTGTTGCAGTGAAGAGACACCATGACCACGGCAACTTTTATAAAGGAAACCATTTAATTGGGGCTGGCTTACAGTTCAGAGGTTTAGTCCATTATCATCATGGCGGGAAGCATGGCAGCATGCAGGCCGACGTGGTGCTGGAGCTGGGAGTCCTACGTCTTGATTGACAAGCAACAGGAAGTAGTCTAAGACACTGGGTGTGGTTTGAACATATATGAGACCTCAAGCCTGCTTCCACAGTGACACACTTCCTCCAACAAGGCCCTTCCTACTCCAACAAGCCACACCTTCTAAGAGTGCTCCTCCCTATAGGCTTAGGTCAGTTGCATTCCAATTACCACAAACAGCGAAGGGGATGTCTGATGATGGTCTCACAGTAAGAATGGGTAAAATTTGGATGTTGGAGTAACCTATAACAACGCAGCCAGACAAATCACAAAACAAACTTTGTTATCTAGTGACAAAGACAGGGCTAATGAGTTAGCATTTCCAGAAAACATGGAAATACGAAAGCATTTCTTCATTTCAGCTTCAGAGTTCTACACTGATGGGATGAACGGCTGTTTTCACTACTTACAGTCACACAGCTCTACAAGGGTGAATAGTGACCTTCACCTATGGTGGTATTTTATTTGTACTGAAATGTGATTTTAATTATGTTAATAAATAAAGTTGCCTGGGGGTCAGAGCTATTAGAGCCATAGCAAGAGCGTGGCGGTGGTGGTGCACACCTTTAATCCCAGCAGATCCCAGTAGGCAGAGCTAGGTAGATCTCTGTGTGTTCAAGGATACAGCCAACATTGGAGACACACGCCTTTAATCTCAATACCATAGAAGATCTGGAGGGCTGTACATACAGACAGTGACGAGGCGGTCATGTGTTTGGGTTTACAACCAATGAGAAGGCAGAACAGAAAGTCTATATAAAGACAGACAGGAAGTAGCTCTCTTTCGGAGAGGTCTCTTGGCTGAAGAGGCTAGCTGCAGGGTAAGGCTCTTAGCTCTGATCTCTTGGCTTTCTTCTTTGCATTGGTTCTGTGTTTCTTATTTAATAAGACTGTTGGTTACATCTATATTCACCTGTCCTGGCTGCGTCAGCACACCAGCACAGATCCAGAAGTAAACGAAGGACAGGGAGGGTGTGGGGTATGAGACTGGGGTATGAGACGACACTGTAGTGAGAGAAGCTGTTTCCTTTCTCAAATCGATACTCCCCACGGCACAGTCATAAAGGAAGGACAGAAGCTTCTAGAACTAGATGATCCTCAGAAATCTAGACTTTGCTTTGCAAGTGGTGTCTAGTTTTAGCTTTTCAGTAGACCATGGGTAGAGAGATGCTGTTCATGTGATGAGCCTTGGTAAATATTTTGGACAAAATATTAGGTGCATTTATATTTCCATTTAAACAGCCAGATGAAATCAGTGTTTATTCGAATCGAGGTTGGCATGATTTTGAATGTACTCCTTTATTCCCCTTTTCCTTGAAACATATTTATTTGGAAATCTACTGAGTTCTTGTGCTGAGACACACTGGGCATTTAAGAATTGGACATAAAAAAAAGTCAGAGGACTTATATGGAAATATAATTGCATCCAATTTCCCTAATAACCCCATCCTTCTCATTTCCCTCACTTTAAATGTTTCATGTCTTCTTAAATCCACCCCTTTTTGTTCCTACTTCCTAGGTAAGAGCCCCTTAACTGCTGGCCAAAATAAAAGACAACTTTACAGGGAGCTTAAAGAGGCGAAAACAGAAGAAGACACTGCAGTCTAAAGCACCCCTTGCTCTAACAAGCGGGAAGTTGCTACAGTGCTGCTCTATGGAGCATTTGGTAAAGGTCTGTGGAGAGCTAGAGTGCTCGAGTGGGCTCTGGTCTCTCTACCTGCAGCAGTCTTCGTCCTGTGCTCTCTAAAGAGAAGGATGCAACCACGGTCGATTAGCTGGTCAGAATTTAGGGAGAGCAAGTAAGACAGCAGGAGGCCACTCTTCCAATGAAAAGATTTGCTTTATTTTACATGTAGGAGTGTTTTGCCTGCAAGTATGTCTGTGCACCCCGTACATGCCTGGATCCCAAGGAAGCCAGAATTGGGTGTTGGATGCCCTAGAACTGGAGTTATGGGTAGTTGTGATCCGCCCCGTGGATGTTGGGAATTGAAGCATCTCTCCAACCCAAGAACACACTCTTTAGAAAAGGAGCAGAGTCCAGCAGCAGTGGCTTGGACCCAGGTAGGCATGGGGCTTATCTTTCTCCCTACTGTCCCTTCCCTGTGCCCCACCCTAGGGTGGACACTTCTTGGAAAGGGGCATGCTTTTCTTAGGAGCCCATTTTACACAGAATTCAACCTAATTA